ATGTCAACTTTAAATAAGATTTTGAAACATCAAATTGTTTCAAATAAGAAAGTCATGGACATAAAAGTTGTTCAACATATCACTATCTACATTTTTTATTTTGATCATCTTTTCATTTGACCAAATTTGAACAGTTGAAATTTTGAATTTCAATAAATGACAACTTCAAACAAGATTTTGAAACCTTAAATGATTTCAACTATAAAAGTCATGAACATAAAAGTTATTGAACTCATCACTATTTGTAACTTTTATTTTGGTCACTTCTTCATGTAACAAAGTATTAGTAAACATTATTCATAAATTCACATTTGACTCAATTTCATAAACTATACGATAGATATGTTGATTTGTGAACAATGTTTACTATCACTTTGTCAGATGAAGAAATAACCAAAATAAAAGTTGTAGAACTTCATAAGTTATACAACTTTGGTATTTATTACTTTTTCAGCTGAAACCATTTTGTGTTTTAAAATCTTGTTAGGACTTGTCATTTTTTAAAATTTATAAATTTGAATTGCTCAAACTTTGTCGAACGAAAAGAATGATCAAATCAACATAGTAACTTGATAGGGCATGATTTTGGAAAATTTTAGGAAAAAATCATCATATTTGAAGTTAGTATGAGGGAGAAAAACTAGTTACAAATTTTACCCAGAGATTAAAAATAAAAATCATAATTGTTCATGATGATCAATAATGAACAAGTGTGATTTCTATTTTTAATCTGTGGCTGAAGCTTGTAACTAGTTTTTCTCCCTCATACTAGCTCTAAATTTGATGGTTTTTTTTCTAAAATTTTCTAAAATCATGCTCTATCATTTTAGTCTGGTCATCTATCTTTGTAACTAATTTTGACCAACTAAAATTTTGAATTTTAGAAAATAATAACTTTAAACCTGATTTTTCACCATTAAATGATTTTAGCTGTAAAGGTGATGAATATCAAAGTTGTATAACTCGTCAAGATCTCTAACTTATATTTTAGTTATCTTTTCATTTGACCAAATTTGAACAGTTCAAATTTTGAATTTCAATAAATATCAACTTCAAATAAGATTTTGAAACCTTAAATTGTTTCAAATAAGAAAGTCATGAACATAAAAGTTGTTGAACATATCATTATCTACAACTTTTATTTTGATCATCTTTTCATTTGACAAAATTGGAACAGTTGAAATTTTGAATTTCAATAAATAACAACTTCAAACAAGATTTTGAAACCTTAAATGATTTCAGCTATAAAAGTCGTGAACATAAAAGTAGTTGAACTCATCACTATCTACAACTTTTATTCGGATCACTCCTTCATGTGACAAAGTATTAGTAAACATTGTTCACAAATTCACATATGACACATAGTTTCATGAATTATACGAGAGATATGTTGATTTGTGAACAATGTTTACTATCACTTTGTTAGATGAAGAAAATGATCAAAATAAAAGTTGTAGATCTTGATGAGTTATACAACTTTGGTATTCATCACTTTTTCAGCTGAAATCATTTGGTGTTTCAAAATCTTGTTAGAACTTGTTATTTTTTAAAATTTATAAATTTGAATTGCTCAAACTTTGTCGAATGAAAAGAATGACCAAATCAACACAGTAAAATGATAGGGCGTGATTTTAGAAAATTTTAGAAAAAAATCATATTTGGAGTTAGTACGAGGGAGAAAGACTAGTTACAAATTTTACCCAAAGATTAAAAACGAAAAATCACAACTATTCATGATGATCAATGATGAACAAGTATGATTTCTCTTTTTAATCTGTGGCTGAAGCTTGTAACTAGTTTTTCTCCCTCATACTAACTCCAAATGTGATGGTTTTTTCCTAAAATTTTATAAAATCATGTTCTATTATTTTAGTCTGGTCATCTATCTTTGTAATTAATTTTGGACAACTAAAATTTTGAATTTTAGAAAATAACAACTTCAAACCTAATTTTCAACCATTAAATGATTTCAGATGTAAAGGTGATGAATACCAAAGTTGTATAACTTATCAAGATCTCCAACTTATATTTTGGTCATTTCTTCATTTCATAAAGTGTTAAGTGCTTGTTTTAAGTGTTGTACATGGTAGTAACAAATATTATTGGTAGTACTAAATATTATTGCTCTACATATGAAGTCCCCTTTCAAAACGCATCGTACATCGGCTCCCCATGCCTCCATAGCCTCTCCATTTCTTGCGTCAAAGGCTCGAAGAACACGTCTATATCAATGCCTGGTTGTTTAGGGTCAGAAATAAGAATAATGAGGTGAAGTTACTTTCTGTTCTAACACAACCACGTTGGGATGTTGTACATGGTCAAGATCACTGACCAATTGCTGTGGTCACTCATCCTCTCATAGAAGGGATTCATTCCATCGGTGCTCAAGCCAAACCGTATATTCCTTGGGTCATCGCTGAATTCTTTGTGCTTCTCATTGATCCTTTACCACTAACTACAATCAGCCGGGTGTGCAATCTTATCATCATCCACCTTGCGCTCATCATACCACCATGTCAAGAGTGCGGCTTCTTTAGGGTTTAGAAAGATACGTCTTAAGCGGTCGGTCACTGGCAGGTACCACATTACCAAGGCAGGAATTCTTCTCTACTTTGCAACGTTGCCTAATGGAGTGTCCTCTAGGGGCTGAGATTCTTGTACCACCTTTTTTGTACCCTTTTTATTCCCCTTTTTCCCCGTGAAGGCTTTGTCCCCACCGTAAAGGTCATTGTTCTTGTATCGGCTGGCCCCACACCGGGGACATTTATCCAGTGACTTGAACGTTTCGCCATGAAAAAGGATACAATGGTTGGTGCATGCATGGATTTTTTCAACCCCCATTGTCAATGGACTTATGACCTTCTTCGCTTTGTATGTGTTGGTGGGAACTAAGTTTGGTTGTGGCTGCACCCATGACAGGAGACGTAATATATCATTGAAACTACAGCCTGACCAGCAGTACTTAGCCTTCAGGATGAGTAGGTCAAGCACAAAACGTAGCCATGTCCAATGTGTCGGACAGCCCTTTTCAACACCATACACAGTCTCCTTCGATGCTTTTGTCACCCTTTCTAAATTTTCTAAACTTTTTGGGGTCTTTAGTAAAATCTCTAGTTCAAGGGGTCGAATCATGTCCTCCAAATCATCTTCATCTCCGACACGTGCTCCACCATCATTATTGGCACCACCTTCGTCGTTACCATCCCAACAACCAGCATCAGCACCTTGTTCATTGCCAAACTCAGAATCCATTCGTGCATCAAGCTTTGCTGAATATTGGGACAGGAATTCTAGGGTTTCGTCGTCGTATTCCATCTCATCCTCATCGTTAACAATAACCGTTTCACCATGATGAATCAACACTGTGTAGTCCTCAACAAATCCTCACATAATCAAATATGATATGATGATAGTCACATCTGTCCATGCCATACGGTTCTTGCAATCTTTATAGGGACAAATAATTGTATCCTTATTATCTGTCAACGTCATTGCATGCTTCTTTGTGGCTTCAATAAATTTATCCACCTCTTCACAAAAACCTGCCTTGAACCCTAACGAACCATACATCCAAGAGTTCATGTACTCCATCTTTTACAACAACAACAAAACAAATATTAAAGGACTACTTATTCATATATATATATATATATATGAATCAAATTAATAATTATTTAAGAATAATTGTATATACTTCAGATATATATGAATATAAATCAAATATAATTACATGAAGCATACAAACACACCATGGTAGAGAAAAATTAATTAAAGGCCTATTTATCCATAAATAATTAAAATACAAATTTGTTGATTACAATAAACAATTTCAAAGACAACAATTAGCAATAATTATATTTTACCCAATATCTTTCATGCAAACCCTAGTTTAATTTCATCAAACATTAATTTACAAAAATAAAATTAATAAAAAAACCAAACCCTAGAACTAGATCTACATGCACATGAAACATTCATAAAACTAACTAATTGTTCACTAAAGTCAAGAAACATGGACCAAATAAGGGTATGACCTTGTTTCCCTACCTATTTTACCCTAGTACATTCAAAACTTAGGTCTAATTTGCTTCATAAGTAGCTCAAGTACCATAGAAGAGAGAAAAACAAAACTCTAATTACTCACTAACCAACCATTAAAACTTAAAAAAAAGTATGGAATAGCATTTTCTTACCTTCTACAGCCTCTCCACCAAAGAATTTGAGACCAAAACCTTTTCCCTTAGTAGAGTAATTTTTGGAAGGTGCCTAAGGCCTCCCTATCTTTTTTTTTTTCATGGGTTGAAGTGAATGACCTGAGGAGGAAGAAGAGGTTGCAGTCATTTATACAACAGACATTTATAGGGGTGGTTGATGATTGAGCCGCCTTACAAATCGAACAGTAGGGACGGTTGGTGAGTGAACCGCCTCCACAAATCTACCCATTTGTAGGGGCGGCTCGTATCACCAGCCGCCCCTACTGTTAGATTTGTAGGGGCGCTGGAATCATGGGACCCGAGCTCACCCACTGTAGGGGTGGCCGGTGGTGGAGCCACCCCTAAAAAAAGCCCTCGTTGCTAAAAATTGTTTTTGTAGTAGTGTGTTTTGCCTAAAAACGGCATAAATTTTTTGTTTATCCAACTCGATCCGAACGAAGAACTAGCAAATGGTCTATTGCCAAGGCTTAATAGCATTTTCTTAAAAGGATAGTACTAAGAATTATACTTGCATTGCAGATAGAACAACGTACACGAACATACTATATAAGGTTAAGCCAAACTGATCTTGCAAGGCACAGAGAGATTGCAATATACGATATTGTTCTTAGTGCACTGCATGCAGTGCAAGCATACATAATATACGAGATAAATTAAACGAAGACTAGATAAATCGGCACACACCTATGCCAGCCAGCTGATACACCCTAATCCACTTGCCATCCGCGCTTTTGCGCGGCATACCGGGACTCTATAGCTTCTTCACGCGTCACGTTGAATTTGCCATTACACCAGCACGTAGTAGAAGGCACCGTGCTGGAGCGGCTCCACTGTGCAGCCCGACGCGTCGACGGGGACGGGCTCGAGGTCGAGGCCGCGCTCGCCGACGCCGCGGAGCAGCACGGCCGCCTTGCCGAACTGCGCCCTCACGTCGAGCCTCGCAGCCGCGACGTTGTGCGCCACGCTCTTGCCCGTGACGGTGTCCGTGATGCACAGCGCCACGACGCTCTCCTGCGTCGCCGCCATGGGCGCCGCGGCCGCAGCGGCAACGGCGGCAGCTGGCGCACCGCCGGTGCTGACACCGACGACGGCCCCGGCCCCGGCCCCGGGCACTACTGCGAGTCCTGCGTCCATGTAGAGAGACAGTCAAACATACGGCGAGAGGGTATTTAGTGCGTCCAAGTTATTGCGCGTGGCCCGTGAATTAAGAAATCGAAGGGTTTGAGGAAACCCAAGTATAATGACAGTCCAGTCCAGTCAATGCATGCGTGCATGAACAGAGCCTTGAATTGCCATGCCATGCACACACGCGCACGCCAGCACGCTCGCTCTAGGTAAAGACGCCTCTGCAAGTCTGCAGTGTGAAAGGAACTTTACTCCCTGTTTGTTTATAGGGATGCTCTAAAATTTCTATCACATTAAATATTTAGACATATACATAGAGTATTAAATATAGACTAATTACGAAGTTAATTATATAACTTGTGACTAATTTACGTGACGAATCTTTTAAGCCTAATTAGTCCATGATTTGACAACGTGATGATAAAGTAAATATGTGCTAATAACAGATTAATTAGGCTTAACAAATCATCTCGTAAATTATCCTCCATCTATGTAATTAGTTTTGTAATTAATTTATATTTAATGATATTTATTAATATCTAAATATTTGATTTGACATCAATTTTACGAGCGACCGGACAACCAAACAGCCCCTGCTTTGCTTCGCTTGGACGTCGAGCGGCAGAAATTTGACTACCGTCATCTCAGTCTTTTCAAGAACGTACGTACTGTACGCATGCAAAGTTTCTTCTTCTACCCTTTCTACGACAGAGAAGCTAGTACTACGTCCACCAGAAAAAAAAAATCTATATCTAGACGTGTTGAATAGTTAAGCTGAAAAAAAAATACAGTTCGCTGATTTATTGCGAGAGAAAAACATTATACCATGATTGATAAGTTTAAACAAACATGGCAAAATTGTCTAAAGTTTAATCAAATATATAGTAAAAGTATCGATGTGTATGATGTTAAATAAATATACTATAAAAATATATTTAATATCGAATCTAATAGTACCCATTTAGTATGATAAAATTTAATATTTTTTTACAAATTTAGCCAAACTTGCTATACTTGAACATGGTGTTGTTCTGAAACTATATCCTTTCGAGGCCTTATTTGGATATAGTTGGATTCGTATCAATTCACGTGCGTTAGGGAAATTCCACCCCAATACACATCAACACACGTGGATTGAGATGAATCCAATAACATCCAAACAATGCCTCAGGATGGATGGAGTACGCCAGACAGTGCAAGGCCCAACAGAGGGTGGCAAAATGTATTTGTGACATGTAACCAAGCGCTAAGAGTCCTCAAATTCTCATGTTCTGTGTTCCTTCAAGGCTCCAACTCTACTAGTTTCATGTAAGCACATATGTCTTCGGTAAAAAAAAATGTGAAAGTACGCATGCAGAAGATGGAGTCGTTACGTGCAGCATTGGATGCATCTACATATGATGATATGATGTAGATGCATCGCCACGGAATAGTTCATACCTTTGAAGCATTCCATCAAGAACGGCTTTTGTTTCCCGATGGGGAGAACAACTCGCAAATTTTGGTCTTTTTCTAAAGCTACTGTGCTTGCAAACTGACAAATTTCCACAACTTTTATCATGCACGGTAAAGTCATGCAGGAAGGCAGTGACAAGATCGAACATATGTACTCCTATAAGAGATTTATGCATGCATGGCTCTTGATCTTACCGATTGCCACATGCATCCCTTTAGACATACAAACACTGACAGTACCCTTGTATTAATTGGGATCGGTAAGATGTGATTGCATTGGGGCTTTTTTATCAAAAGAAGAAGGTGTTTCAATTTTTAAATGAGATTTGTGCAATTCCATGCCAATTAACAAGCATATACAGCTTGAACGTCTTTGCGCATATCATAAGACATACAGTAAGACATACCGCTGCATACTCCAGTCAAAGCTAGCATGCAGCCTAGCACTATATAAAAATGAAACGAACCTGAAAGAGAGACCCAATATAGCACGAGAGAAATGACCACCTAATCATGTGACGCGACACACTGACAGTCTTAATCCATACAAACACAATCCAAGCATATGATGATACAACACGTACTGTACAGAGAAAAACATGTACGGACTTTTAAAAAATGGTACTCCAAAATTAATCAACTTTTCACGTACCTTGCAGCAGATCATAGTTGGCGACGACACCATTAGTACTTGCAGGCAAACCTGTGAGCCCAGCAGTAGTGGCAGCCACGCTCGCCACGGTAACAGTGGCGCCAGCAGGCGATGCAGCAAGAGGCGCCGCCTCCATGGCCGTGCTAGCTCCAAAGCCGTACTGCAGCAACCCCAGCTTCGTGGCGTCCTCGTGCGTCACCTCCCTTGCCACTGTGTTGGTCGCCGCGGTGGTGTTCTTCTTGCCGAGCTGATGATGATCAGCGCCGCCCCCGAGCCAGAACTGCCCGAGCCCCGCCGGGCCCCAGGCGCATGTCCTGTGACCAGTGACGGTCTGCTCTGTCGTCAGCTCGTTGCACAGCCCCAAGAAAGCTCCCGCAGGCAACGCCGCCGGTGGCTGCTGCTGTTGCACGGGCACGTGCATGTACTGCCCCCCGGCCCCAAGAATGGCAGCGACCTCGGCAGCCGACAAGCAGTAGCCCTTCGCCAACGGCTGGAAGACGGGCTCGTCGGAGGCTACGAGGTCGAGGTCCAGCACCTTGTGCGCTGGCGCCGTGGCCGGCGCCACGGGGTGGCCTTGGTAGTACATCTGATGGGGACACGCCGCGGCGAGCGGCCCTAGCAAGTCCATGGCCGCCGCCGCCGTCGCAGACATCGCCTGCCCCGCCGCCGACTTCGCAGCCGGCTTGCTGGACCCGGAGGAGCGGTCGGAGGAGGACGAGGACGAGCAAGTGGGCGCCTGCGCGGGCGAGGCGAGCAGCTGGAATGGGTTCTGGATCAAGGGCTGCGGCGGCGGCGGCGGCGTGACGGGCGCCGCCGCGGCGGCCCCGCGGCCCGGCGCGCGCGCGAGGCCCAGCCCCAGCCGTCCGGTGCCCGCGGTGGTGGTGCGCAGCCTGTTCTTGGAGCGGGCCTTGCGGTTCTGGAACCAGTAGAAGACGTTGGCGTCGCCGACCTGGCCGTACTCCTGCAGGCGCATGCGGATGCGGGGGATCTCGTCGCGCGGCGGGTTGATCATGCCGGAGTTGAAGATGGCCTCCAGAATCCGGATCTGCTCCGGCCTGGGGTTCCACCGCGGCTTCGGATCCGGGGTCCGCTCCTCGCCACCTACACATGCATAGATCGAGAAACAAAGCAATCAACCAGGAGTCAAGCTAGCTTCACCTCTCGATCTTGATCCCCCACCTCGCAACAAATAAACCCTACCTCTCTACCTCTACTAGTGGCATGCACGAGCCTAGCTGCGACAGTATCATGCATGTACATGGTCGATCGATCGGTGTGGGTGCATCAGGTGCATGCATACATCTCGGGGACGGTAGCGTTCGGCGTACCTGAGTAACCTGAGAGGGGGTGCTTGAGGCAGCGGCCGGTGGTGGTGGATCCGCCAGCTGGGTGGAGGGACGGCGGCGAGCTGCTGATGTCAGGCTGCGTCTGCCACAGCTCGGCGGCGTGCTTGGACCTGAACATGCTCGGCCAGTGACTGTTCTTGAAGGAGGCCATGCTGAGCCGATTCTTTCTTCTCTTCTCTTCTCTTGTTGCCCCCTTTCGCAGAACACCAGATCTTCTCCTTGTGAGCTCAAACAGCGGCAGCTAGGGATTCTGTACTACTACCACTACTTCATCATCTACTACTGCCAGTGAAAGCCTCTGTGGTTCGGAAGAATTAACACTGATCAGTGAGCTCCCTACCCTGCTGTCGCACCTTCTCGCTACGCTATGGGCTATGGCCTATGTCCTATGGGATGGGGGTCTTTCACCAGGCTAGGCGACGCTCGCACACTGCTGCTGGCTGCCTCTTATAATGGCCGCACCTTCCCTCGGTCTCGCGCACCGTTGCCACGCAATGAATGGTCTCCCAGTTCTACTGGCCGAGCTCCAGTGTCGCCCTGCTTGGAGATGCGTGCTCGCGAGACCGGGTCGCGTGGCGTTGCATCGGGAGGGAACTGACGGACGGCTCGCCCCCGCTGTGCCGCTCATGCCGGATGGGTGCAACGTGCGAAGGTACGCGCGCGACGAGAGCTGGATGCTACAGTAGTGCGCTCTGTGTGCCTGCTGCCACTGCCAAGCGAAGGTGGACACGGAAAACCGAAGCGACCCCCCGCGCGCTGCCGTGTTCTGCCATTTCTGACGGTGCCTTTCCGAATGAGGGAGCGTGATGGCGACCTGGGGCGTCGCCTCGCCTTTCCAATCCCATTTGCCGGAAGGAATGAGAACTGCAGCCGCGTCACATGGCGATGGGGCGGCAATTTGACCGCGCGTGGCATGGTCGGGTGAGCTGCTTGTTGCGAGGAACAGGATTATTTCTGGAGGGGACACCGGGGGAAAAGTGCGTAACCGGCTAACCGCAGCGTGAGTTACGCGCCGAGTAGGGCCTTGTTTAGATTGAAAAAAAATTCAACCCGATGAATAGTAGCACTTTCGTCTTATTTGGTAAATATTGTTCAATCATGGATCAACTAAGCTCAAAAGATTCATCTCGTGATTTCCAACTAAACTGTACAATTATTTTTTTTTTATCTACATTTAATGCTTCATGCAAACGGCTAAAAATTGATGTGATGGAGAGAGAGTGAAAAAACTTAGAATTTTAAGGGTATCTAAACAAGGCCTAGAAAGGTGCTCTAGAATTTGAATCTGAGTGGGTGTTGGATTGGACGCTAGCTTTCCAGAGCCTTCCACACGTCAAATAGAATTGAATGTGTTGTCTACCAGTACTTCCTTCATTTTTATTTACATATCTTATTAGCTTTATACTAAGTGCCTGCTTAGTTTCCAAAATTTTATAAATTTTTTTTAAGATTTCCCGTCACATCGAATCTTTAGACGCATGCATTAAGCATTAAATATAAATAAAAAATAAAACTAATTACACAGTTTAGACGAAATTTACGAGACGAATCTTTTAAGCCTAATTAGACTATGATTGGACACTAATTGTCAAATAACAACGAAAGTGATACGGTACCATTTCCCAAAAAATTCGCCAACTAAACAAAGCCTAAGTCAAACATTGCTATCTTTGACTTTCTATTTCAAAAAATATGTATAAATTCATAACATAAAATCTATGTTCATTCACTATGAGGAATACTTTCATAAACTATAATTCCTATGTTTTGAAACTCTAAGGAATTTTTAAAATAAATGATCAAAGATACAAATATTTGACTTAATTTAGTTACAGCTTTGGGCCACTATAACTAAAGTTTTTGGTGTTCATCTTGGAAGTTCTTTAGATGTCATTGGTAAATTCTGGTTTAGTAATAAAAGAAATGGTGTGTTGAACATAATTTCTTCAGCTGCTATGTGGTCTCTTTGAAAACTTAGAAATGATATATGTTTTCAGAGGGTGGACTGAAGGAGTATGGATATACTTCTCAACAGGTTGGCAGCAATAGCTCAAAACTGGGTGATCCTTTGCCACGAGGTGAAGAAGGTCCTCTTGCAAGCAAAAATTGGCGAGATCAAGACTTTGACTGGGCAACACTTTCTAGCTCCAGATGTAAAGTCGATGAAGGTGCAATCCTGGGATCTTGTTAAAGAGGTGTTTGTGTAACTGAAGAATCTGCAGCGGGATGAGGAGGTTCAAAGGTGTCTTAGCTAGGTTTATTAGTGTGTTCTGGTTTCTTTTTCAGTTTCTGGTTTAGGTGTTTTGGTCAGCTCTTTAGGCCCAAGTTATGTCTTCTGTTAATGTGGTGTTGGAGTGGTGCTTACATTTGCTGAATGGGATTCCATTCACGGTGCTGTAAACGTTTAACCTATCTTTTGGCTCTAGTTGAAAGAGTGGTGCTTGGCCCTAAAACTCTAAAATATTAAAAATAGAAACAGATTAAAAAAATTAAAGTAGAAAGCATTAATCTAAAAAATTTCTTGCATATCGTGAATGCACCGCATCTTGAGTGCATGAGTCCACCACCCAGTTAGGAGGCGCTAATTGATTGCGACACTAAGTTGTCAAGGAGGTTGTGTGCACACTAGAGGTGGATTGTGATGGGAGAATTGTGATAGGAGAAGTCGAGTGGGCTCTAGGGGTTTGTTGGAGGTAGGGGGCTTGCGCCCCCTGTCCTCCATTAATATCCACTGACCCTCTTTCTTCAACATGCTCAAGAGACTAATTAATATCGTAGAAACATGTACCATTTTGTCGGGGACCTAATACCGGGAGTACCCAATGAGGTGGAGCTAATAACCATCGAACGTTGACGCTTCTGGTCAGACAAGAACGCTACTACACTTCTTGCCCGGACGACGGAAGATTGGTTCCGCCTCGCCCGACCCCCGAGGGCTAGACTCCGCCTCGCCCGACGGCTGAGGGCTGGCTCCGCCTCGCCCGACGGCAGAGGGCTGGCCCCACCTCGCCCGATGTCCGAGGGCAGGCTCCGCCTCGCCCGACGACTAAGGGCTGGCTCCGCCTCGCCCGAAGACTGCGCCCTGCTCCTTCGTGATGACGAGTACGAGGTAAGACAGGACATTCAAGTCAACCACAGTACCGAGGAACATACCCTGCACGCCTGCAGAATAGTACATTCAAGATACAATGGGACGGGCACGTTAAGCCCTTCTAGGCATGGCAGAGCCCGAACAGTGTTGTAGGCACCAACTTTGGTCATACAGTGTTGTGGGCGCCGCCATCAGCCCTCGGACACAGATCCTGACACGAGCATACGATAACCACTACAATCCAAGAGAGAACTCACATCATCTACAATGACGGACGTATGGTCACTTCCCCGTCTACTCCCCGTTGGGTCACAGCTCGGCTCCCTGGCACGCCGCACCATCTGCCGATGTAGGATGGGATGTACCCACTTGCTGGATGAGGCCAGGGCACGGCCCTATAAGGATGCAAACACGCCATCCCTAACACAATCTGCCATGTTAGCAGGGCAGGCACAAGGGGAAAGGAAGACCCGGCTCCTTCGAAGGTCCTTCTCTACCTTTGGTTTTTTCCTCTTTCTCCCATCTATAACCCCTGCTCCCCCTTGGTCTATAAAAGGGAGGGTAGGACACCCCACTAAGGGGACGGATTGATTCCACACACAGCCAAGCGGCAACCGAGCTCTTACTAGGGTTTTGGCGCCATCTGCCGGTGTAGGATGGGACGTACCCACTTGCTGGATGAGGCCAGGGCACGGCCCTATAAGGATGCAAACACGCCATCCCTAACACAATCTGCCATGTTAGCAGGGCAGGCACAAGGGGAAAGGAAGACCCGGCTCCTTCGAAGGTCCTTCTCTACCTTTGGTTTTTTCCTCTTTCTCCCATCTATAACCCCTGCTCCCCCTTGGTATATAAAAGGGAGGGTAGGACACCCCACTAAGGGGACGGATTGATTCCACACACAGCCAAGCGGCAACCGAGCTCTTACTAGGGTTTTGGCGCTTGGAAGACTTGTTGCTCTCTTGTCGCGGATCCAGCTCTTTCCGGACCGACTGTCATGGTTTTATTTTGGTGGAGGAAGTCCTTACACCGCACTGAGTCCAGGACTCAGGGGCGGGGGCTTGGAGTCCCAGTTTGGACGAGGACCTGGACACCCGGGACAGGAGAGTGATGGGTTGGTCCTGCTTATGCCTTGGGTACAAGCGGGGCATGTGTTTTCGGGGTACCCAGCTGGGGGCATTGATTCGCGAATCGCCGGGCAATCCGGTACAGCTTGTTTTGTGTCTAGCACCGTAGTAAGAACTGAAGATGAAAGATGAAAGATGAAAAAAGGAAAGCTGATTGCTTACCACCTGCTTGAAAGTAGCACAGGTGCTTACATAGAATGGTTAGTTAATGAACCAATGCGGCTATTAATAAAAATCAAATAAAAGGACGCACGCTTAGTAATGCTTCCTGCAAATACAATAAACCCATCAGCCAGATAGCCTTGCATATCTTTGGAGTCTTTTCTTTCCTCCTGTCGGGTAAGTCTTGCTTGAGTACAATTGAGTACTCGAGTTTTATTCCCCTGTTACGGTGGACATGGATGCTAGAGCTAACCATTGTGTGTGGATACCTCCCAGTGGGCTCAAATGAGGATTCCTTTACTGCTGCGACCGTAGTTGTTATTTATAACTCTCACCAAATGCTTTTATAAATGAAAGTTTCATAATCTGTTGTCGTAGTGTATATATCAATACTTCATCATGCCATGATTAGATAATTATTTCCGCTGTCATTCTGATCACATGTTTATATTCCGCTGTTAAATTAAATTGTTCATAACTCTGATAATATGATTACATTCCGCTGTTATAATAATAAATATTGTACTACGATGTTGTATTAAAAGTGATGTAACAAATGGTTAAATGGTGTAAGCTTTATTCTCTCATTTATGATCTTGATGGCAAAAATGTGAATTTTTGGGTTCTCCCCTGGGGTGTGCCCGACGGAACCGAGTAATTTGGTGTTCTCCCTTGAGTGCTTAGTGTCTAATGAAAGACGAGCACTCCTGGGAGGCATTAGATTAGGCGGTTACGCCACACATCATCCTCGACATGGTCTCGCCATGTCGC